ACATGACTGAGCACACATGCAATGCAAACATGTATATAAGAGCACAGTTTGTACTGTTCTTGTTTACATTTTGAGAGCATTGAAGGAAGGTTTTATATTAAAAAGAATAAAATTTAAACCAGAAGTTAAAATTGTTTGTCTCTGGGCCAGGAAAACTGAATGCCTTTTTGGCAGTAGGATGGATTGGACCCATAATATAAATTAGGATAAGATAAGAAGTATTACAAAAAAGTCATGCTGTAACAGCCTGTAAGAGACCTAACCAAAGATTTACACAAACACATAGCCCGAGGTTGAGATGCTATTTCTACAACCTTTAGTATATATGTGAAAGGATGAAGTTAACTTGTGTGTGGATTTTTCACTCCCTGCATATTTAGATAAAATCACAATGTGAGGTTACACAAATCCAGTAGTTCAGATTTCCTTCCAGGTGGAAGTAGTACTTTTACACACTACACTTAACAAGCTCAGGGGAGTGGTAGTGGGATGCTACGGATCAATCAGCTTCACGCCTCACTGTGACAAGACTCCAGGAGGGTGTGGATACAGACAGGCCACAAGGCGGCAAAGCACCTCTGTACTTTTCACTGGCAACCAGTTGAAAAATATCCAATGAGAGGTAAGATGCTGGGATTCTAGAAATCATGTTGTAAATCCAAAAAACTCATAAATTTGCTATCTCCAAGTCTATTCTATATTTATTAAGGCTGAGGTAGGGTACTGATTTTCTTCTAAAGCCTGATCCATTATGTTAAATGAGGAATTAAGAAACCACAGAACCCTCCAAAAGCACCAAGCTTACACAAAGCCTCAATAGCAATAATGATAAACACCATTACCTTAAATATTATGGGTAATGACATCAAATGGTAGAGACCACACCCAGAAAAAAACTGAGTAAGAATTTATTACATTTACTTAAAGGATTAGAGCTGATACATAACAGAACATTTAGTTATGTCAACATAAAAACAATAGCTGTGGTTATGATTCGCACATGCAATTCATTCTGCAAAAGTAAAAATACACACACTACTCTTTCTAGACAAGCCTTCTATATGAAGTTAGATTAGGTCAAGGCAAAAGAGCAAGTGAACTTGAAAGGATTGCACTTATAATTAAATGGGACATAGCCAAGGTATAAAGAGGAGACATACCTAATGCTAACCACTGTATTGCAGTACTAGCAAATTGCACACTTATGTTTAGAGTATACTATTCAACATACATATATACTAAGACTAAAGAAATTTCAAATATCCACCTTTAAATTATCCCTTTATTTCTGACATATCACATTTTGATATTCATGTAATAGCATTTGAAATCTGTAGTTATCATTGTCAAAGCTTATGTTTAAGGGATAAAAGGTCTGTAACATCTACCACCATTGGCCTCAAATGCACTTTCATCATGATCTATCAAGTATAAAGAAAAACTGGGTAATGAAGTTAAACTAGCCTGCTTTAACTACAAAAAGCCTTTAAAAATTTAGAAACAAATATGTAACAAAAGAGCTCATCCAGAGCTACCTTTTCATTTTTAATGCAATGTATATTAGAATATCATGTGAGTACACATACAAGTAGAATATACAATAAAAAAAAATAGATTAACTCCAAAGATCAGTATTTGGATTTGGAAAGTTTTGACTTGCATCTAAATTCTGCTTATAAATAGCCTGAAAGGAACTGCTATCAAGGACCAGTCTAAAGAACTAGGCTGTGAAGTTTGTTAGTTTAAAATTTCTTAAACCTAAATATCTTGCCATTGTATGGCTTCATATTCTTTTAGTTTACAAAAAAAGTGCAAAAATTTTTTTAAAGTAATCTTAGACGGCAATAGAATCTAACACAACCTACAACAAAGTTATCCCAATATTTTTAATTAATTGAAATTTTAAGTTTTATGTAGCTTATTATGTTGACATTTTACCCATTTCAACAAACAGAAGTGTAAGGTATAGAAATTTGTTCTTGACACCAGAGGAGGAGATTGGTGTGGAATATAATGGAACAGAGGAAGAGCTTTCCTACTTGATTTACAGTTAGTCAATACATGCCAGTTAACAGAAATATTTTATGGAATGCTACTATATAATTATTCTACTTCTAAATTTATGTCATGATTATTTAACTATCTAACTATGTGAGCAGAAAAAAGACATCTTTTTAAAACTTGTTTGATTGCTATTTATAGAGCTATTTTAGATGTTTCACTTTAAATGTGAATTTTCATAAATAAATGTTTTCACAATAAACTAGGGTCACTAGATGACTTCACATGTTAAAAAAAAAAGCTCTCTCATCAAAGAAAAAGGCTGAAGTTAAACAACTAGATGAAGAACACACGTGAACACAAAACATGGGAATGACTCTGCTTCTTCCCTTGTTTCTATTCACGTGTTGGGTCTATTTCCCAGTGATGAATGATCCATGTTAAAAAAAGAATTAAACTGTAAGGTTTTAGTAGGTTTGAAGTCTGACAGTTTTCCAAGAATTATTTAGCATCGTGCCTTTATGAAGGATGAGGGTAAGATACCAAAGACACCAGTAATGAATAATCAAATTACAGTATTAACAAAGGTAACATATGCTTATTATTTTCAAACTTACAAGAGGGTAACTGCATCAAATTTCTGGATACTGGATATTTAATGAGTACTAAACCCACTATCTTAAATACAGTCTAACTTTGATATAAATTAACCTAATTTCTCTGCTGACCTAAAGTATAATTCACATGTATCAAAACAGATTATTCTATGACATGCCTTATTAAAGTAATCTTAGTACTTAAGTTTCATGACTGCTTTTCTCTTTTGGGGCAAAGATGTATATTATATAAATATTTCCTGAATGAATTTTTGCACAGTATCCAAACATCCATTTAATATACCTAAAGTGCTTTTGTGGTTAGAGGGCATTCGCTCACTGCACCATGTTGTATGTAAAGTTTCAACATACAAATCTACTTATAATGATGTCCTTTCTTAAATAACTATTTGTTCTCATTCCTTTAGATCATGAGTTCACATTTTATAACTGCCCTCCCCCCATGTACAATCATTACATTAAAATGTTCTTCACAACACTGCTATGTGTCAGGAGGAAGGTCAGAGCTAAACATGGTTAAAACAACACGACTACTTATTTTGAGGAAAGGAAAAAAAATGTAGTAGATATAAATTTGTTGACATTTAGCAAGACCAATCCTTTCCTGATATGGACCAGCCTTTGATGGTCAACTTAAATGGTGGTGATGCTATTACCTTGTCGAGCGTGAGTTTGGGGTCTGTCCCTACTTTTCCTCATTTCCTTCTAATTCTGACAGTCTACCAATCTCATGTTGGTTTTGCCTAAAATAAAACATCTGCTCTGTCTCACAAAGACCATATATGTGAAAGAACTCTGTGAAGTGTTAGGCAAGAAAAAAGGATAAAGCATAATAAGAAGTCTACTGTGAACAATACTGATGAGAGTAATGAGTAGACTTACATCTCAACTGTAAATGTGCACTAAATTTTCTCAACCTTTTATTCTTCAATAACCTCTGCAAATATTTTAAGTGGGCCTGGTTTCTGTATCTTAAATATGACAGAAAAACAAACTTACTTGAGAGCAGTAGTCAATACATGATCTATTTCTTCTTACTTACTCAGCCCCTGGCTTTAGCCCTGCCTCCTTGTCAAAGGTGGTGGGTAGAGGATAACATGAATGTGAAAGTGAATATAGAACTAAACTCTGCAGGCTCAACTTACTTTTCCCCTGAAGAAGAGAACATGTGGGATGAGGTTTAAAATATTCCTAAATCATCATGTAAAATTAAATTCCACCTACCTCAGAACTGGCAGACATTAAATACTATCTCTTCATTAAGTGCCTCTACAATAAGGATATTTGCTAACTGTGATACTTACTAGGGTCAATGTGTACATTTTAGGGGTGGTATTTTGTTTTGGTGAGTATTGCCCAAGTCCTATAACTTATTAGTCTGCTTCAGATACCTACTAGGAAAAACAAACAAACTCAATTTTGGCCTACTGAAAAACAAAGCGTATTAAGTCAAAACACATTTTAAGGTGAAGATATAGTGTATAAAGTGCTTAATCAACCAAATTCTCTGACGTCTTAAAAAGAAGGGTCAATGAAGTTTATATATAGGTATAGAAAAGTGTTAATAATCTAAGCCTTTATATTAATGGCAAAGAATGTATTAAATGTTTGAGATAGTTTGTCATATTCATTCCTAGCTCTTATCTAGACACTCTGCTGAGTGTGTGAAGTGTATCTTCAAAGGTTTTCAATAACAACAGAAAGCAAATTTTTGAAAATTTACTGAATTATTGATTGTCTAATATTTAAAAATTAATATTTTTAGTTTGCGTGTTAAAACAGAATTCCTTTTCTCCAGTAACTGGCAGTGTCACTAGCAATGGAAGAGGACTAATATCTTACATGTTGGTATGATTATAAATGACCCCAATTTTTTCTGGCAGACAAAAGCCGGGCTCATATTAGCTGTATCATCTGGATTTTTTTAAAATTATGTTGTCAGCTAAAGTAGAGGGTCTAAGACCTTGTTCCTCTAATTTTTGTTAACTCTCTCCCTAAGATCTGATATTCAATGACTATTCTCATTAAAATCAGTATAGCTGTTTATGACTAGCTTTAATTTAAATACCCTCTGTTTTCTAGACAGCAAAACAAAAAGTTTCACTTTATAAATTTTAGACAAACTTTGTTTTTTTCTTCAGTGCAAACATCCTGAAACAGCACAAAGTCATTCAGCTATTCAGAGGATGAAGTCAGTTTATGTAGTGCTTAAAGTTGAATCCCAGATATACTGGGATGGAAAAAGCCCACGTGGTAGGACAGTACATTCTTGTCCTTAAGGGCAAATGATCATCTTCAGTGAGTGAAGATCTGAAATCACAGATAAAGTATTTTTAGCTTTACTTTACAGGTACTTCTGAAGCTGTCACCGGGGCTGGTCTTTCACTGAGGCATGTAGCCGCCTCGTCTCACAGTCTGTGGTAAGTAACTTTTAGGCATTCCTTCATCAACCGCAACCTCCATCCCAACTGTTTCAAATCTCTCTACTTGTCCCTCAATGCCTGGACCAAAAGCATCCACTGCAGGAACTTCCTGAAACATTTTCATTTTCCCAGATCCATAGGGCTGTGAAATATGATCTGAAATCTGCTGCTGTTTAAGTCTAACAAAATCTTCTTCATTGACTGAGGAAACTTGCTGTGACCTTTCAAAATGCGAAATATCTGGACTGGTTTCATGCTGACTGCAGTTTTGCTTGAAATACCGCTGCCTGGGCAGAATGCCATCACTGCCATCTACATTATCTACCAGCTGTAAATCTTCTGGCCGTTCCTCGGAGTCAAGCAATGGCTGGGTGGACTCAGATCTTGAGAAGACTTGGACAGACGGTACCTGGTGTCTGTAGCCACTGTGTACCACTGTGGAATACTGGACAGTGCCTGAAGTGTTCTGTGCAGATTCATTTTCATCACTGCTAGAAATGCTTGGCCTAGAAGACGACATGCACGAAGACCCTCCAATACCACTACTGTGTCCTTCAGTATTAACTTTTTCTTTCTTGAATAGGTCCAAAGATTTTAGATCCTCTGGGAAAGGCTTTTTGTCATTTGCTTCTATTTCCACAACACTTACATCAGTGAAATTGCCATCTGGATACATTTGATCTTTTGAATTAAAATGCTAAGAAAGACAGAAAATGAATTATTACCTATGGTACACATTCATTTAGAAAATCTGAAATAATTATGTATAACATATTAGTTAGAGTCACAAAATTCACCTCTGAAACTTCTCAGTAACTTAATAGTGCAAAGATAATCTGTATCACTAAGTCACTGCTAACTACTTGAATCATGGATTTTGTGAAATTTGTTTAAAAGGTAAGAATTAGACTGTATTTCCTCAGAATTCCAAATCAATATTGTTGGGGTGTTACATTTTTATAAACTAACCAACTCAATGGACATAAATTTGAGCAAACTCCAGGAGATAGCGAAGGACAGGGAAGCCTGGTGTGCGGCAGTCCATGGGATCGCGAAGAGTCGGATACAACTTAGGGACTGAATAACAGTAACAAAAGTCTAGAAGTAAAATTTCATATTTCATGCCTAGTCTAGGCAGCCTAGGATTAACTGGATAGAAAAATGAAGAAAACATTAAGAAAAATCAAACTCAAGTTTCATAGGTTATGAAGGACTGTCAGAAGTAAAAAACAGAAATAATCTTCCCTTTAAGGAAATTTAAGAAATTTATTATAGGCTTCCAGAAGTCATTTAATCATATTAAAATCATAGATTTTAAGTTTGATTTTAATATACAATCTAAAATGCTTATCTTACAACAGAATTATCACATAGCTGTATTAAAACACTAGGCTTTCAACTTACAAGTTCAGTCAAATTGAACTTTTAATTCAGTCAAATTAACTTTTTAATGTATACTAAATAGAATTAGGAATATAAAGACAAATATGCTATGGTGATAATAAACTCCTAGAATATGCAAGTACTATTTTTAATTTTGACTAAAATTCTAATTTATGTACTATTTTCATAAACTCTACAAATATATCCTAATATGTTCGTGTATTCTAAGTAGTCAGAAACATTTTATCTTCTTACCCTTGGAGGTGTGTGAGGTGACCACTGGGCAATATGACTCTTTGAAGGATCTGGAACATTAGGCCAGATGTGTTTTTTAATTCTGGAGAGGAAAGAAATACTGCATATGGAGAACCACTTGTAATAAATGTGATCATCTAAATCTTAAGAATAAAACCAATTAAACAAAAAATACCTACTGTACTCCAAAGCTAACAAAAACATCATTTTTCTTGTAACCAATAGAATAAAATACTATTTAAAAATGCATAAGGATCTGAATCTTTATCCTTAAAGAAAAACTGTTTGTTTATAAGACTAAAGCTGGTAATCAGTATTCAATTTTTTAAAATCTCTGAAATCAAATTCTGCAATAAAAATCACTTAAAAACTTTAGCCAGGGGTACAAAACATCGTGGCACACCTTCTCCACAAAACAAAAACCCCAAAATGTTCAATTTCCAACTAAAATAATTCAGACAATGATAAATTATCACACTGGTACAAGATAAAATAATATGATTTTTCACAAGGAAGAAAAGGCTAACATAAAAATAATTAATTCAAGATATCCATCATCAAAAACCTATTTAAATATGTTTAACATAGTCCCTAGCACAACATTAGAGGTTCACAAGGGTATGTGAGTACACAGGAAATGAGTCATCTTGAGAATAAGTTCAAATAAAAAGTAAAGATGGGTAGTAAGATCCTAACAGATTGTCCAGCAGGAACAACTATGAAATCTGGACATAATAGAAAAAGCAATAGAGTTAACAACCTAAATAAACTGACCAACCAAAAAAAAAAAAAAGGAATTCCTTGAAAGACACCAATTATTGAAACAGACTGGAAAAGAAAACTTCAATAGCCCTATACTTACAAGAAATTCAATTTGTAATTAAAAATCTCCCTACAAAGAAAAGAGCAGCCCCAGACAGCTTCACTTGTGAATTCCATTAGATATTTAAAGAGGAAATAATACAAACCCTATACAAACTCTCCCAGAAAATTGAGGTAATATGTACTGATTAACTTTAAGAGGGCATTCATTTTATGAGATAATCAGTATTACCCTGAATCCAAAATTAAACAATGACACCACAAAAAAAGGACAAATCAATACCACTTCTTAACATAAAAACATAAAAATTGTTAACACACCGAATCCAGCAAATTCCAAGGAATGCAAGATATAACATCTGAAAATCAATGATAAAATTCACCTTGTTTATGAAAGGAAAAAAAAAATCATAAGCTCATCTCAACAGATGCAGAAAAAGCATTTGACAGAATTCAATACCCATTCATGACAAAAACTCCTAGCAAAACAGAAATATAAGAACTTCCTCAACTTAAAGCTAATATAATATGCAACAGTGTTTAAAAAAAAATATGCAATCATGTTAAGAGTGAATGCTCTCTCCCCTAAGATTAGGAAGAATGGAAAGATGCTGGCTCTTAACACTTCTATTCAACATTGTACTTACTGAAGGTCTTAGCCAGTAGAATAAGAAAAATAACTAAAAGTATAAAGACTGGAATAACCAGCTTTACTTGCAGGCAGCATGACTGTATACGCAGAAAGTCCTATGGAATCTAAAAAGTGACTACAATAAATTAATTTATCAAGATCTCAGTATATAAGATCAATATGCTTAAAAGGATCAATTTTCAATACACCTGAAATGAACTAGAAAACAAAAATGTTTCAATTCCGTTTATAATAGCATAAAAAACACATTTAGGAAGGAATAAATTTAACATAGCCTGAAGACTACGAAACACTGCAAAAGGAAACAAGAAATGTACCCTGTTCATGTACTGAAAGATACACGTGACTCATGAACAAGTGAATTCAGGTTCACACTGCACTTTCTCCTAAACTGATGTATAGATTCAATAAAATTCCACTAAAAATTCTAACAGATTTTTAAGGGAAATTTATATGGTGATAATTTTATATGAAAAGGCAAAGAATCTAGAAAAAATAATTTTGAAAAAAAAAAAAGAAAAAAACTGGAGGAATTCTGCCACTCGTCTTATTGTAGAGCTATAATAAATCAAGACCATGTGGTATCAGCACCAACAGACATACATAACAAAGGAACAGGATTAAGAGTCCACAAATAGATCTAGACTTATACGAATAACTGATTTTGGTAAAGGTTGAAGGCAATTCAACAGGAAAAGACAGTCTTTTTAATAAATAATGCTGGAATGGTTAGATATCTATGGAAAAAATTCTTTGACCCTGACTTCACACCATGCACAGAAATTTATTCTAAAGAGATCACAGCACAGGGTTAAAATCATTAAATTTCTAGAGGAAAATACAGGAGAACATATTTGTGACACTTGATTAAGCAAAAATTTCATAAAAAGGACATAACATCAACAACCATTAAAAAATAAAAACCCTAACAAAATGGATTTGATCAAAATTAAACACTTTTGCTTTTCTGAAGTCACAGTTAAGAAACCAAAAAGGCAAGCCACAGTCCAGAATTTGCAAAACATATGTGACAAAAAATTTGTAACAAGATATATAAAGAACTCTTAAAGTTCAATATTAACAAATTACCCAATTTAAAAATGAGCAGAAGATTTCAAGACATATCACAAAAGAAGATGTAAGGTAGCACATGAAAGTATCTATTACTAGTCCTCAGGGAAACAGAAGTTACAATCACACTGAGATAGCACTATAAACCCCTGAGAAAGAATGGCTAAAATTAAAAACCTTGACAGTACCAAGAACTGGGAATGATATCGAGCAAATGGAACTTTTCACATTGCTGGTGGGAATACAAGATGATATGGCCACTTTGAAAAACAATTTGACAGTTTCTTATAAAGTTAAATATGCATCCAGCAATCCTGGATTATATGATCCAGCAATCCCACTGCTAAATATTGATTCAAGATAAATGATAATATATGCCTACACAAAGATATGTATGTGAATGCTCATGATAGCCAAAAATCAAAGAAACAACTTAAATTTTCATAACAGATGTATAGGTAAACAAATTTTGATCTTTCTATACTATAGAATACTATTCAAGAATAAAAAGGAGAAAAATATTAGTATATGCAACAACATGGATGAATCTCAAAAAAGTCAAGCGAAAGACATCATACACAAAAAATTACATGCTGCTTGGTTCTATATATGTGAAATCCTAGAAAAGGCAAAAATACGACCACAGATCATTGACTGCTGGTGCCAGGGGCTGAGGGAGAGGACAGACTACAAAACAGAACGAGGAAACTTCTAGGGTGATGGAAATGTTCTCTATCCTAAGTGTGGTGGTAGTTACACATCTACATACAGCTACAAAAATTCATCAAACTGTTCACTTCAGATGGATGAATTTCACTGCATGTAAATTATAGGTCAATAAAAGTGGGGGAAAATGCAAAAATATGAACAAGGGTACTTACAGGTCTCGCTTATTAAAGCAGAATAAAACTCCCAAAAGGGTTGTCAATAGGAATGCTAAGCAAACAGGTACAACAATAGCTTCAATTTCTCCTTGAGCTAAAAAACAAAAAGGGGAAAGAAGGAAAATTGTTGACACATATGCTATAGACAAATAATGCAACTTTCCAACCAGATTACTGTTGAAAAGATGAAATACCATCCTAATTTTTTTTTTTAACAAACTTTTCAAACTTAAAGGTATTTCTCTCTCCCCACCCCTCCCCCTTGGTAAATCATATCCTAGTTGCTTATGCCTTAGGTCATGGTAACCTGACAAAGTATACATAAAATAGAAGTTGGCTGGGGGAATAAACTGATTAGTTCAGTTTATTGGATAGATAATACATCTGGTAACAGCTTTCAAACCTATTTATTTATTACATTTATCATTTGCACTCAGCAGAATCTTAGCAAAAGCTTACTTTTGAGTTTGAGGAGTAACTGGAAAAGCTCTAAATGATCTCAATAACTGAACTACAAATGTTAACTTTCTATAAGGAATAAAAATGTAAAATTCAGATAAAATTTTTAATCGTTATTTACTGATATAGGGCTAAGAATTTTAGGAGAACCTTAACAGGCACAATGAGTGGCAGAAGTAGCTAGTATCACCTAAAAAGCAGTAAGCCTAGGATTCCTCAATACCACATGAATCCCTCTCTGAATTTGAAAGAGAGCTTAGTAATCAAATGAATCACTAACTGGGATAATTTATATTAGAGATTTTTAAATGATTTGGTTGTTTCTGGTAAACTCCTCCAATCCTCCTTCAATTAGTCTTTTACAGGAAAAATGTATGAAAGTAGTACGACAGCTACACATTACTCAGTCTTACCTTCCCACCACACATATCCCTTTGTAAGTAACTTTACATCCTGTGAAGCATAATAGGAACTGAGAAATCAGAGGAATAAACTATAGGTTGGAAAATATTAATTCCTGAATGCTAAGATTCTCATATATATGACACATCAAATTCAGGCAGAACCTGTCCTTTACTGGTGCTGAACTTCCTTCTAAGCTTCCATGCCTTGGGCCTTTTGCTCATGCTGCTCCAGGATGCCTTCTCCCTGTCTGTCCACATCTTAACCTCAAAGATCAAGTACTGTCTTCTCCACAAAAATCTTTGAAGGTGAAACTTTCTACTACCAGTATCTTTAAATTCTTGTTCTATTTGCTAGTAGCATGGCTCAAATGGCTCTCTGTATTGTTTACTTATACTTTATTTCTTCAACTAAACTATATGGTCCTTGAGGGCAAAGTCAAAGCCATGTGAAGTAGGTATAATAGATCCATAAAACAATAAGTCAGAGGGAAAAGTGGATGAAACAATATTAAATATGATTTCAGTTTTGGGGAAAAAATGTATGCATAGAAAAGACTAGGAGGATATATAAATATGTTAAAAGATTATTTTGGATGAGGGATTAGGAGTGATTTTTCTTCCTCTTTGTATTTTACTGTATAGTCTGAATTCCTTATAATGAACACTACTTTTGTTAACAGCATAAATTTTTAAAGTTAATTACTTTTATTTTTCTAAAGATCATGGCACAAAGTTTTATTCCAAATATTACAGGTATGCCCCCACTTTCAGAAAGTTCCAATTTTACCACTTCACTTTCACAAAAGATTTACACTAACATACTAAAAAACTTTTTTCATAAATTACATTGTCTGTTTTTGCTAACGAAAATAAATTTATAAAAAAAGCTTGTTAGTGCATTTAATGTAGGTCTTTCATGAAAATGCAGTGGCATAATGTAAACTTGCCCAAGGTGAGGGATACTCTTTGCTCTAAACCATTTTGGCTTATAAAAGGTTTCAGAGGAATGCTCAACTTTTGGTTAGAGGTAGAAACCTGTATTTGTTACATATATATTCTACAAACATGTCAACACAAATCTTATCCCACAGACTATATTCATTATTGGCCATCACACAGCAAAGCTCAGGATCTTTCAATGTCTATCTTATGTAGCAGTCACTTATCCATTTATTTTCTCATGCAGCAAACATTCAACAAGGAATATGGGGCTTACTATTTATCATTAACTGTGTTGGTTCTTGGACATGACAAAAACAATTACAATAAAATAAGGTAACTGAATAATGATTCAAAATGTAGTAGTTACAGGAAAGAAAGCATTTTAAGTCTGCTGTAGAGAGGTTACAGGAATAGCCAAAACAAGAAAAGGTATAGGTGAATGTGTTGGGAAAAGATATAGAGGTGGGGAAAACGAAAAGAAGTTTAGGGTCAAAGAAAGAGATTACGAAAGGGCATGCACAGCAGTAACTAGAAGGCATGAGCAACTGAACTTGCTAGTTTACGTAAGTGAGAAAGAAATGAGAAATTTACTACAACTACCCCTAAATTTCTGGGTCTGGCAAAGAGTTGTGACATGGAACGAAGAAAGAGAAACCTGTCTGGGAAGAGCAGAGAGGGTAGCTGGAGTCTTAGACCGGGACTCTGAAATGGAAGACAAGAAAACAGTGCCACAACAAAGGAAACTATAAGCAAGGTGAAAAGACAGCCCTCAGATTGGGAGAAAATAATAGCAAATGAAGCAACGAAGGATTAATCTCAAAAATATACAAGCAACTCCTGCAGCTCAATTCCAGAAAAATAAATGACCCAGTCAAAAACTGGGCCAAAGAACTAAACAGACATTTCTCCAAAGAAGACATACAGATGGCTAACAACCACATGAAAAGATGCTCAAAATCACTCATCAGAGAAATGCAAATCAAAACCACAATGAGGTACCATTACACGCCAGTCAGGATGGTTGCTATCCAAAAGTCTACAAGCAATACATACTGGAGAGGGTGTGGAGAAAGGGGAACCCTCTTACACTGTTGGTGGGAATGCAAACTAGTACAGCCACTATGGAGAACATTGTGGAGATTTCTTAAAAAACTGGAAATAGAACTGCCATATGACCCAGCAATCCCACTTCTGGGCATACACACCGAGGAAACCAGATCTGAAAGAGACATGTGCACCCCAATGTTCATCGCAGCACTGTTTATAATAGCCAGGACATGGAAGCAACCTAGATGCCCATCAGCAGATGAATGGATAAGGAAGCTGTGGTACATATACACCATGGAATATTACTCAGCCATTAAAAAGAATTCATTTGAATCAGTTCTAATGAGATGGATGAAACTGGAGCCCATTATACAGAGTGAAGTAAGCCAGAAAGATAAACACCAATACAGTATACTAACACATATATATGGAATTTAGAAAGATGGTAACGATAACCCTATATGCAAAACAGAAAAAGAGACACAGATGTACAGAACAGAATTTTGGACTCTGTGGGAGAAGGCAAGGGTGGGATGTTTTGAGAGAAAAACATCGAAACATGTATATTATCTACAGTGAAACAGATCACCAGCCCCGGTTGGATGCATGAGACAAGTGCTTGGGCCTGGTGCGTTGGGAAGACCCAGAGGGATGGGGTGGAGAGGGAGGTGGGAGGGGGGATCGGGATGGGGAATACATGTAAATCCATGGCTGATTCATGTCAATGTATGACAAAAACCACTACAATACTGTAAAGTAATTAGCCTCCAACTAATAAAAATAAATGTAAAAAAAATTAAATTAAATCAAGGTAAAGTACAAAAAATAAAAAAAGAAAACAGTGCCAGGAACAGAGCTCTGGAGAATACAAAACATTTAAAAGAGCAGAAAAGGAGACCAAGAAAAAAGTACCACACAAGAAGGAGACTCAGGAGAGTGCTACTAGAAAAATAAACCAAGGGAAGAGACTGTTTCAAGGATGAACAGGCCAATAGGAAGGATCAAATGTTGGCAAGTGTAAGGAGAAAAGATGACTGAAAAGCATGCACTGGACAGGACAACTAAGACGTCTTCCACATGTGACAGCAGACAGGTTTCAGTGGAGTGGTGGGTGGGGTGGAAATCTGGTTTCAGCAGGTCAAAAACTGAGCTGGGGGTATGGAAATGAGACTGCAAGCGTGGATTAGTCTTTATAGCCTGTGTGTGTTAGTTGTTCAGTCGTGTCCAACTCTTTGCCACCCCATGAACTGTAGCCTGCCAGGCTCCTCTGTCCATGGAATTCTCCAGGCAATCTGCCCATTAAAGGAAGAACAAGAGAAGAGACTATACCCAAGCTGTTGTTTTTTTAAGATAGTTGAAATACAACTTTATCCTGATTCTAAATGAAAAGGAGTGGGAATCACAGTAACAAACAAGATTCCACCTCTCAATATAGTCATGTGACTATAGCAGTCTTATATTTGAAACTCAAGGAGGAAACAACTGTGTTCCAAAACACCTAAATATGCAAGTCCAAAAAAACGAAGCTTTTCTTTATTTTTAAACGGCCACATTAATTCCAAAGCCCAAACATCTCCTTCAGCATCCAAACATTAAGCACCTGTTCTGCTTAGTTATAAAGTGGCAAACACGCTGCACCACTGACATTACAGGATAGTTGCCTATATAACTAGACTTCTGACACTGGGCCCCAGCTTCACTTTCTCACAGGTCATCATTTTCATCTGGGAGAGCAGTCGTCTGAGCAACCTCTAGATCGTGCTTGTACTGTGCTACCAAGGCTGCGTCCATGACCACCTCTGGCAGGGCAAGAGCAGGCATGGCGACAAACTCCAAGTTACGGTCTCTGATCAATTTTCTGGCAAGCCAGAGGAAGGGTTTTTCAAAGTTGTAGTTACTTTTGGCAGAAATGTCATAGTGCTGAAGATTCTTCTTTCAGTGGAAGACAATTGACTTTGCCTTAACCTTTCTGTCCTTAATATCCAATTTGTTGCCACACAACACAATCGGGATGTTCTCACACACTCATACCAGATCTCTATGCCAGCCAGGCACATTCTTGTCAGTAACTCTCGACATTACACCGAACATTATGATGGCACACTGACCTCTCAGTCCACCAAGTTTCTCCTGACCAGCTCTATCCCTCACACTGAACTTAATCGGTCCACTGCTGGTATGGAACACAAGAGGATGGACCTCAACACCCAAGGTAGCTATATACTTCTCAAATTCACAAGTCAGATGACATTTCACGAATGTAGTTTTTCCAGTACCACCATCACCAACCAATACAAGTTTGAATTGAACTTGGGGTTCTCCTTGGGCAGCCAACGCAATGTTACTTTCAGAAGCATCTCCACGACCGTCTGACTGAGCGAGACCATACCCAAGTTTTGCCAGTGAAAAAAATGAACCCGTTTAGAAAGATAAACAAATTATTTTGGGATTTACAGAGTACAGGTGAAATTAGAAGCAGTTGAAGAAACAACAGCAAAGTATGGAAAACATTTTCTGTAGTTTAAAGAAATAACCAAACAACAAAACAAAAATCATAATTTATGAACACATCATTTATATGAATCCAAAGATGCACTTTAAACAAAGTTTTAGCATGTAAGTTAAGCCCATTTTTAGTCTGATTAAATTTTTAAAAGAAAAGAGAAAGAAGGAAAACTCAAGCATCATTATTCCTTACCAAACTTTGGTGTAGTAAAAGTGAATTCTGGACCATCCTTTCCACCTTCGTCTGTGTATGCTGCCATTCGTACCATATACAAAGTGTCACTAGTCAAAGAGGACAGTGTATATTCTGTGTGGGAAGAATCCACATTCACAGCTGGAAGAAAGCAGTAAGTGCACTTTAACCAACTACTCTTGCATGGTTTGGCCTATATTTGATATTGAGAGAGTACAAAGAAGGAATCAAACCATATTTCACTAGAAAACAATGTATTTTTAGTAGGATCGTGAAGGCAACCATAAAGCATATTTTCATGTATCTCTTTTCTGAGCATAAAATGCTGTATTAAGATGTAAAAAACATAAGAAGGTAAGATTTAAATTAGTATTTAAAAGCCTAAGAAAAAACACCTGATTCTTAATAACTGATATAGCTTTATTACCTGTTTCATTTCCAATGACGGTTCTATAAAATATAGTATAATTTCTGATAAATCCATTCTGAACATCAACAGGAAGTTGGTCCCACTCTAAGACAGCTTCATTTTTCCCCACTTTTTTTGTCCGAACAGTAGGTCCTTTGGAAGGTGCTGAAACAGAATAAGGTATTTACTAACTAAAAAGCATAAGAATTTAGTAAACCACTAGAACTTGGTAAAATTTCATTATCATGGAATTATTTGAACATAATGAGACATATCCTTATTTAAAAAGGATAAAGTGTCTTTGTCAGTACAAAATGCGACGTTTTTCAAAGAAAGTAGGGCTGGACTTACCAGCTTGTTTAAGGTATGCCTTTATATGCTCGGGGCTTCCTGGTCCATCAGCATATACTGGAGTAACTGTTATCAAGTAACATTTGCTCTCTACTAGGTTTCCTAAAATAAGAATAGTAGATTAAGCATTTTCTTCCTTATAATGAAAAAAAACTTAATTAGCTCCATTGCTTACTTTTACATTATAATTTCATGACCATTGAATTTTCTTTTATTTATTCATTTATGTTTTTAAAATTGAAATACAGTTGATATACAATGTTAATTTCAGGTATACTAAATAATAATGACATCTGCATACATTATGAAATGATTACCACTGAACTTTCTTTTAACACTACAACTTTTAAGTAAACATTGCCTTTTGTGTACTAGATTCAAGCTTAACAGAGTAAATCTTTATGAAAATAAAAGGCTATTTTTATTGCCAATAAGTGAATAAAAATATTTATACTGTCAATAAAAGTAACAAATGACTGAATTTATATTCAGGATTTATCAAATGGGTCTTTTTTTTTTTTTCAAATGGGTCTTTCTTACAGTTTGACAATTTTTGTACATTTTACCTAATTGAGAACTGCCTATGAGCAAGATGTCAGTAATCAGAGCTAGGGAAAGCACAAATGGCTGTGGTTGGCCAGGTGACTGGGGAAAAGACAATTAAGTGTTATTTCCCACAATAACAGAATTTTAAAAGAAAAAAAGTATCTTAAATACTTCCTTTATTTATAATCTTTCCAAATTAACACAGTAGTCTATGTCTTTAGCACACAACAACAAAAAAATTTAGTTTTGTTTATAAACTGAAGTTTATACCTTCAATAGAAACTTACATTTCCTTAACTGTTTATTCATGAAGTTATATATGCTTCTTTGTCTTCATAAACAGTCATTTTCTTAATGATTCAATATTATCAAGAAGATAATTTTTATATTCTGCTTATACAGTGATGTTTTATCAGGCCTACTGAGTTCTGTGGGAATACTTGCACAACCTGAAGGTCCCCAGAACCTTTGCTCTATTGTCCAGCTAGGGCTTCCCAGGTGGCACCAGTGGTAAAGAATCTGCCTGCCAATGCAGGAGATGCAAGAGATGCGGGTTCAGTCCCACGGTGGGGAAGAGCCAATGGAGAGGGAAATGGCAACCCACCCTGGTATTATTGCCTGGAGAATTCCAAGGACAGAGGAGCCTGGCGTGCTACAGTCCAGGAGGTCGCAAAGAGTCCAACATGACTGAGCTTGTATGCCATCCATGGTCCAGTTATTACCAATCTATTTTCTCTCTAGCTCTACTTTGCTTTTACTTGGACAAGATTAAGTGGGATTAGTAAAATTATATGTTAAATAATGGGTCAATGAGGGCCAAACAGCCTATGTTATGAATAAAGCTCTTTACGGCAATATATAAACAGTATATTTTTTAACAGCTTTTCTGTGATTAATCATATTATTTGTAGCTGAATTCTAATGGTTATCCTCTTTACACACATACAAACTGAGTGCTTTGTTTTCTTTTAAAGTTGTTCCATCACTTTAAAGCTACTTGAAAAGTAGTAACTTGCAATGAGAGCAATCCATACTGGAGCTCTTACTTTCTGTCCTTTATTAGTACTTCCAGTTTAAAAGACAAGAAAATATAAGTTCTGATTCTGCTTCCCCTGTTCAACAGCTATAAAAAGTTAACAAGCCATCCAGAAGCTCAGGAAAATTTTTCTCTTTAAAGGATGAAGTTAAATCAGGTACAGAGAACATACTAGTTGGGAGCAGAGATTGTACTACCTTGTATTTTTCTTACATTACAGTTCTGTGAGCGTTCCTTTGATGATCAAAACAACAGAGAGTATTACAAGAAGATAGTATTAACCCCACTTAGTCCATAAACAGACCCTGCAGTTTAGTGAGGTTAGTTAAGTATGACTTGCTGAGAGTCACAAATCTAGTAAACAAAAGTTAACTAGTAACAATGATAAACTGGAAGTCTTTTCAATGGACCACAAAGCCTATAAAGCAGAAAAGAATAAGTACAAGAAAAATCTGTCTAAAGAACTAGAAAAAGGACAACAATTTAAGTGTTTCTAGCAAGGTATACCTCTTAAATAGGTGCGATGTACAGTACCATCTTCTTGTTGCCAGTCTGGGATACAGGGCGATTTATCAGATAACACACACCACTCAAGTATGTATCTGTTTACAGGTTCATTTGGAGCAGTCCATTCTACCCAAAGCACGTTATCTTTGGGAAATGCTTTAAGATCGGTTACGGGGTGAGTAGCTTTAAAACAAAGTAGGAATACCGATATGATAAATGAACACTGAAAACTCCGAAGTTCCAACATTTTACATTCATTTTCATAACCATGTGAACTATCGTGCTATCACGTTTTCATAGCACATAAGATTAAACTGTATTTACATGAATAAAAGCTCTAATTTATACAGTCAATTTATTTTCAAACTTCAATTCCTTTCCCCAAATTCTTCAAGTATTTTGTGTATATAACTTGCATTTTCTTCTTTGAAAGCTACAGATAAAGCTATAGAAAAATAATATATTTAAGTTAAATGTACATAATAAGTTCCTCAAACCTAAAAAATATATTTTTTAAAAAAGACAAATAATCATAAAATGCTTAAACAAACTAAGTAGCTTAGTGCAAAGTTTAAGTGAACCACAAAATGATGGAACGATTTGGTTCCTGATTGATTTCTAAAAATTTAAACCACTGCAGATACTGAGGACATAGTCTTAGAATACTTATGTTTTTACAGGAGTCCTGTCCATACCTAACTACCCTTTACCATTCTTAAGTGAGGCTCCATCTTAGGGACAAACCTTGAAAATCCCAGGCAGGGATAGTTAACACAGACGCATCTGATTTGCCAACAGTATTTCTCGCTGTCAGAGTTGCTACATAGCGATCATTTGTGAGGTTCACCGTCAGTTTTGTGTCCTGAACTGTGTAATTTTGTAAACGTGATTTCCATCTTGTGAGAGTCACTTCATAATCCAAAATTTTCCCATTAGCTTCAAAAGGAGGCAATGTCTGTAATAAGACAATTTACTTTTAAAACATATTTCATAAATCTTGAATAAAGGTAATATTTTTCTTCATGTTCACAAATTCTATTGTCAAATCTCTATAAATATTTAATTGCAAGGGGCTGGCAACCTTACTTTGAACTCACTGCTGAAGGGAAACTACTACACACTGAATGAAGAGTAAACTAAGAGAGAAAGTAGCACCATTCTGTTAGCTATCAGGTCTCGATACAATTCTTCACTGACGGTGCGCTGGCTTAAATTATTTTAAGTCTCAGTATTTTTCTTTCTACCTTATTTTAGCATGATCCATTCATGACCATTTATGGAGTGCACAACATCTTTATTTCCTATTACCAGCATACACTCTGACTACCCCAAATATTATTTATTTTTTATGAGGCACTGAGGAAAGTTTGATAAAACACAGGACCCTTATAGAACTTTCACAGAATTATGCTGAAATATCTATGAGGTATCACTGGCAGTTTATGAACCTTTTTTTTTAGTATATATAAAGCTTTGCATTTTTATTAAAGTTATCAAATACTATTTGATACCAAAAATTAAGCTCCACCCATGACACCACATAAAATATATTTATATGAGATAAAAGGATATAATCAAATTTTTTTCTTACCTTCCATTTGAGTTGTACAGATCTAGTGCCATGAGCATGAGATGGCTCTATCTTATACCAGAAACTTGGTGCCTTGGATGGTCCTAAAGAGATGATATAAAATTTTTAAAATAAAAGTTTCTATTATAACAAGATAAGCTAAAATCCTAGAAATTATTCTTTTACTTTGTTTTTAATATTCTTGCCCTTCAATGATATGGTGTCTATATTTCTGTCTTTACACCAGCATTTTCCCACCTCAGCATGATATGTCTTGGACTTCACCTTTAGTCAGGGTGATAGCTTGACAATTTAGATTATATTGCAACTCTTTAGTAATCTTAAAATTGTAAAGGTACAAATATATCCTAAGCAATAACCAAAGATGTATCACTATTTCTTATTGCTAAAAATCAAACTGAAATATATTTAAATACATGTATACAATCCTTAAATGCATATATTTAAGGATATCAGACAAATAAAATAAATGCAGTAAGCATAGTATTAAGTTTATTACCTTACACTGGGAGTCAATGTAATGGAATATAATATAAATAAATTCACAGGATTGTTGTAATAATCACCAACCATGTGAAAAAGCACTTTACAAAACATCAAATCTGATTGCTAATTAGGTTTTAAAAATTCAAAAATTTTATAATTGCAAAATATGGCATTAAATAGGATAAAAAATAATCTGAGTAAAATCTAAGCAGTGCTGTGCTGATCATGAAGAAGTAACTACAGGTGGACAAAACAAAGGGGAAAGGCACACCAGGAAGGCTGGGGGAAAAGCTACTGGTACAGGGGGTTTGAATAGATATATACATGAGTACAGTGCAGCACCCTGAAAGAATAAAGAACACAAAGCTATAAAGGAAATTTAGAGGCTAGAAACGGTTTCTAATGTTAAAAAAAACCCTGGCTTCTTTCACTAATCTGAAGAAATGCATAATCCAATTGTTCATAACTTTTGGGACACCAGAAATCTCTTTTGATTTGACAAAGGTTATATGCCATCTCTCCAGAAAATGCACACAAGTATGAACCCAAATATTTTGTCTACATCTTAAAGTAGTTTAGGAACTCCCCCAAACTGATCAACGTAGTTTTAAACTCTTCAAGAATACCAGTTTCAAAATTCCTAGCCAAGACAAAGGAATCTGACTCCCAAACCAGCAAGAGTAGGATTACTTTCTTTCTTGGCATTTTTCAGAATAAGAGAAAATTTGTGGTGGAGAATGTTACTTTACTTTTCTGCCTTTGACATTCTCAATTCACATAACTCTCATGAAACCTCTGGCAGAGCTCTGTGGAAGTGAAGGGATTTAGGAGGTAGGGAAGGTTTCAAAGTCATAGCGGCTGCCACTGACACCTCAAGAGGGTGACTGTGACAAGCAAACATTCAGGAAAAAAAATTTGTATTCCATAGGATTATTTTTAATTGAAGGCTAACTGCTTTATAATATTGTGTTGGTTTCTGCCATCTATCAACATAAACCAGCCACAGGTATACACATGTCCCTTCCCTCTTGAACCTTGCTCCCACCTCCCACCCCATCCCACTCCTCTAGATTGTCACAGAGCACTGGTTTAAACTCCCTGTCATTCAGCAAATTCCCACTGGCTATCTGTTTTACATACGGTAGCATATATGTTTCTATGCTACTCTATCCATTCGTCCAGCCCTCCCCTTCTCCCGTGTCCACAAGTCTGTTCTCTTATGTATGTGTCTCCACTGCTGCCCTGCAAATAGGTTCATCAGTACCATCTTTCTGGATTCCATTTATGTGTTAATATACAATATTTATTTTTCTCTTTCTGATTTATTTCATTCTGTGTAATAGGCTCTAGGTTCATCCACCTCATTAGAACTGACTCAAATGCGTTCATTTTTATGGCCGAGTAACATCCCATTGTATACATGTACCACAGCTTCTTTATCCATTCATCTGTCGATGGACATCTAGGTTGCTTCCATGTCCTTGCTACTGTAAATCATGCTGCAGTGAACACTGGGGTACATGTGTCTTTTTCAATAATGGTCTTCTCAGGGTATATGCCAGTAATGGGTCATATGGTAGTTTTATTCCTAGTTTTTAAAGGAATCCCCATACTGTCCTCTATAGTGGGCTATATCAATTTGCATTCCCATCAACAGTGCAAGAGGGTTCCCTTTTCTCCACACCTTCTCCAGCATTTACTGTTTGTAGATTTTTTTGATGATGGCAATTCTGACTGGTATAAGGTGATTTCTCATTGTAATTTTGATGTGCATTTCTCTAATAATGAGTGGTGTTAAGCATCTTTGCATGTATTTATCAGCCATCTGTCTTTGGTGAAATGTCTGCTTAGGTCTTCTGCCCACTTTTTGATTGGGTTGTTTTTCTGGTATTGAGTTGCATGAGTTGCTTGTTTATTTTGGAGATTAATCCTTTGCCAGTTGTTCCATTTGCTATTATTTTCTCCCATTCTGAGGGCTGTCTTTTCACCATGTTTTTAGTTTCCTTTGCTGTACAAAAACTTTTAATTAGGTCCCACTTGTTTTTTATTTTATTTCCATTATTCAAGGAGGTAGGTCATAGAGGATCTTGCTGTGATTTATGTCAAAGAGTGTTTTGCCTATGTTTTCCTCTAAGAGTTTCATAGTTTCTGTCTTACATTTAGGTCTTTAATCCATTCTGAGTTTATTTTTCTGTATGGTGTTAAAGTTCATTCTTTTTCAGGCAGCTGTCCAGTTTTCCCAGCACCACTTATTGAAGAGACTATCTTTTCTCCATTGTATATCCTTGCCTCCTTTGTCAAAGATAAGGTGCCCACAGGTGCGTGTGTTTATCTCTGGGCTTTTAATCTTCTTTCATCGGTCTATATTTCTGTTTTTGTGCCAGTACCATACTGCTATGATAACTGTGTTTGAGTCTCCTTTTCCCAGCCTTTAGGGTTGTATTCCTTCTTCCTTTTGGTTTCTGCCCTTGGTGGGTGAGGTTGTTCCAATGGTAGGCTTTGGTTGGGAAGGACTTGTGCCTGCCTTCTGAGGGGAGGAGGTGAGTTTTTTCCCTCTGATAGGCAGGACTGTGTAAGGTGGTATTTTTGAGTGTCTGTGGGAAGCTGGTCTGCCGATGACTGGGTTTGTTTTTGTCTTGCTTGTTCTTTGGGTGAAGAATCCTGTACTGGGTGCTGCTGGGTCCTGGATACAGGTGGAAGTCTTCATGGGAGTTCTCACTGATTAACACTTCATGGGGTCAGGAGTTCTTTGGCAGTCTAGTGTCCTGGATGCATCCCTCTCACTCCAAAGGCTCAGGGCCTGATATCTGGCCAGGGAACCAAGATTCCACAAGCCATTTGTTATGGCATTAAAGAGGACTGAAACAAACACACGGCTTCTCAGGTAGCCCAGATGGTAAAGAATTCACCTTCAATGTAGGAGACCCAGGTTCTATCCCTGGGTCAGAAAGATCCCCTGGAGAAGAGCATGGCAACCCACTCCAGTGTTCTTTCCTGAGAATCCTATGGACAGAAGAGCCTGGCAGGCTACAGTTTCATGGAATCACACACAATTGGAATGACTGAGTGACTTTCACTTTCACAACAAACACACTAAACAGAAAACAAAACAAGAAACAAAAAATGAATCCCAAATAGTAAATACAAAATCAGACAAATGTCAAAAACAAAGGCACGCCCATGCGCGCACACACACACACAAAAGCAGAACAGTCCAAAGAAAAGAAAGTATAAGAGAGTGACCTGGTGAACAAAGGAAACCAAAAACGGTATCGACCAATTAAAAACAAAACACAAATCAGAAAACAAGACAAAAACAGACTGCCAACTGGGGAATAAAGAAAAGAAAAACAACAGACTAATGAACAGGGTGAAATAACAGGGTGAAAGAAAAGGAAGGCAAAAGATAGAAAAGCAAAGCTAAATAATGTATATTAAAAAAAAGATTTATATATATTAAAGAATACACCAGGAAAAGAATAAGAAAAATAAGCAAACAATTTTCAAAAGAAAAAAAACCCATAAAACTGCAAAAAGAAAACACAGACATAGAAGTATATAAAGGAAATACAAAGTGTGATGTAAAAAAAAGTTCTCCAAAGCTTAAAGAGTTAATAATAATAAAATGAACAACCACAGCAAAGCAACAGGGGAAAAAAAAAATTCCAGAACTACAGAATAAATCAGAATAAAAATAATAAATGTTTTTCTCTGATCTCAACTGTCAGCATCCTTTTCCTCGCTGTGAATCACTTCTGCCTCCCTAGGATGCCCTCCAATACCAGGCTGGTCTCTGGACCTGCTGTGGGGACAGCTCAGACTCTATAATCTGGCCCTATTCCTGAATGTTCTTGCCTCCAATGTCCACAGCTGCCAAAGTCAGGCATTTTCTTTTGTGGGAATTCTCATTCTCTTTTTATATATTCCATACACACAGAGTCTGCCTACTTGACTGTGTGGGTTTAATCTGCAGCTTGTACAGCTGGTGGAAAGGTGAAAGGTTTTCAATCCTCTTCCTTAGCCACACTGTCCCTGAAGTTCAATTGTGGTTTTATCCCCACCTCTGAATGTGAGCTGTACACAGGAGTTTGCTCCTGAGGCTGCCTTGGAGGACTTGTGTCTGCCTCAGTGAGGACCGGGTGTAGAGGTGGTGCGGCTACTTCGATTATGGGGACCCTGGCAGTGCCAGGAATGTAGAGGAGCTGGTGGCCACGGGTACAGGAGATATAGTGCTCTTAGGGTTTTTCTAGCCTCTGGCCACTCTGCCCCAGAGAAGATAGAGCATGGAGGTGGTGTGGCTACTTGGATCATAGGGACCTTGGCAGCACAGAGGCGCCTGTGGCCATGGACACAGGAGGTATGTTACAGTTTTTTCTAGCCTCTGGGAGCTCTGCCCCAGTAGAGATCAAGTGTGGAGGTAACACAGTTGCTTGGATTGTGAGGACCCTTGAAAGGTTGTTGCTGAGCCACGAAAGACGCAAGGATTCTTGGCCTCCAGAGGAGAGGAATTCAACCCAGGGCCAGTAACGAGGCTTGATCGCTCAGAGCTTTTGTGTAATAAAGTTTTATTAAAGTATAAAAGAGACGGAGAACACTTCTGACATAGACATCAGAAGGGGGCAGAAAGAGTGCTCCCCTGCTGGTCTTTAGCAGGAAGTTATATATATATATACACCTACTAGCAGGCTGCTATTAGAGAAAGGAAATGTCTCAAAACTTCAGAGAATGGCACCAGACCCCTCACCCACAACATTCATTTTGAGCTAACATTGGTACAAGGTGAGTCATCTCAGGCCATAAAATGATTGACATGAGTCTTGAAGAAAGGTAGGTTTCCAAACAAATACAGTCTCATTAACACAGAGTAGGAGGACAACTGTATGAGTAAAACACACTGGTTTGTTGAGCCGTTATCGGTTCTGCGTATGTGCGGGCGCTTAGTCGCTCAGCCATTTCCAACTCTTGTGACTCCATAGACTAGCCTGCCAGGCTCCTTTGTCCATGGGATTCTCCAGGCAAGAATACTGGAGTGGGTTGCTGTTTCCTTCTCCAGGTGATCTTCCCAACCCAGGAATCGAACCCAGGTCTCCTGCATTGCTGGCAGATTCTTTACCAACAAAGCTATGAGGGAAGCCCCATATATATATATACGAAATAAATAATTTTGTATAGAGAAGGGAAAAAAAAATCTGTCACTTGTAGTTTGTTTCCTCCTGCTGCTTAACAGAGAGAAAAAAACGTCTGACACTTGTAGCCTACTTCCTCCATCTGGAGACCCCTAGCCTTCCTGCCTGTTATCCTCTCACCCTGGAGTCACAAAGTGTGCAGGGATGCCAGCTGCCTCAGGTGCAGGAGCAGTGGCACTATTAAGAGTTTTTTTCTAGCCTCAAAGGGCCTCCCTGGCTGGTCCTTTTCTTGTTTCTTGGTAAAGAAGGCACTCAAAGGTCCCCCCCCAGGGTGGTGATGTCGCTCGGTCATGTCTGACTCTGCAACCCCATGGACTGTAACCCACGGGGTTCCTCTGTCCATAGAATACTCCAGGCAAGCATACTGGAGGGGCTTGTCACTCCCTTCTTCAGGGAACCTTCCCAACCCAGGAATTGAACCCGGGCCTCCAGCACGACAGGCAGACACTTTACTGTCTGAGCCACCAGGGAAGCCGGCTGGGTGCTTCTCTGTTGCTCAGGGTGTCAGGCACTCGAAGGGCCACCCTCTCTGGGCTCTTTCTCTGCTGATCAGCTGGCACACGGGGAGAGAGAGACTACAGTGATGGCTCCATCCCCCTGCATGTGACTCAGCAGTATCACCCTACCTCCATGACTACCCGACTTTCCTCCAAAGTCATTCCCCTCTGCGATCTCCTCCCTCACGTCCCTGGGGGCCATCTCCCTGCAGTCAACAGCAGACCTCACCCTGGGATTGCTCCCCAATCCCTACATTCCAGCTCCCAGCCACCATGCGTTCTAGAAGACTTGCATTCCTGTCTGGGATACATATGGATGCGGCAAGGATCATCTGTGGGGTTCTCACTCCATTCAGACTGTCACAGATCAATTGCTGCATTCTCTAACAGCCTCAAATGCTTCCCTGCATCCCAAACAATGCCCCAGTGTGGTGATCTGACCCTTGCTTCAGTTCCCTCACCCTCCAAGTACAGGTCCAGTCCTGCTTACTCTCCTCTTTTTCACTTCCTTCCTTCATCCTGCCAAGTTTTATGTGGATCTATATATTCCTTTCCAGGGGTCAGGGACTCCTGCCTGCTCTCAGCTGGTATTCTGAAAGATCTGTATCTGAAGATGTATTCCTGAAACATTTGTGGAGATGTACTCCATGTCCACTACTCCTCTGCCATCTTGTCTTCCCCCCTCCATAGGATTATTTCTTGATGGTTATAGATGAAATTAGTAACATCAGACGCTTTGGGGGAGGAATCTTACTTTATATCATGTATCCTTTTATGCCTTTTGGATTCTATGCTATATGCACTGTATTATCATGGAAAACAAAGGGAAAATGAAAATAAACCAACCAATCAAACACAAAAATGCTTTTTCAGGGGCTTATTAAGTACTGATAAAAAAATGAATAAAAGCTACAGTACAGCTATCTTTTTGATAGTGAAGTCTAATGCATATTTTGGTAGGTAGTATGATTTTAAAGATTCAGGATATGATCCTCCACTTAAGAGATATTTCTAGACTACTCTCCTTTAATAAAATGTCCTGGATTTACCAACTATTAATGGTTTTCTCTTTGTATCTAAGACACCATTCCACAATTTCCTTTAATTAGGTATTAAATAGATTTGTACTATCAATAATATATATTAAATTTTATATCTTGAGATCCTTTAAAAAGTGTAAAATAACAGTTTGAATAAAATGACCACAAAAGATGCAATGAAGTCTATATTATTAAAAGCAGATAAAATTTATAGTCAAAATTCAAATTTTCTTCATATATTTATCTACTTACTATCTTCATATGTGATACCACTTGCTTCTTCACTCCAGTCACTCCAAAATCCTTTACCATCTTCCTTCATACAACGAATCCTAAACACATATTCTGTAAAAGGTTTAAGATCCTGAACAGTGAATGAAGATCGGGTAGATGATGTATCTTCAGGAGGAACCTGAAAACAAAGCGAATTGACCAACAAAAAATCCAGAGGTATTTATTACAGATCTTTTAAACTGCCTAATATTTAGAAGCTAATTAATGAAACAAGCCTAATAACTAATGAAAAAAGACTAATTTGACTCAAGCTCTGCAGAGAAATAAATTCAAGTGAAAAAAGCAGTCAAAATTAGTAAAAGTTAATAGGTTTGGGAAATACGGAAATGACTATTATTAATCTTTTCATGCTTTGTTTCTTTCTTCTATGCTCCTATAACACTCATGGTCTTAATAGGAAAAAAAGAAATTCCAATTAAAATTTAATTCAAGAAGGGTTTGCTAAAGGAAATATGAGCAGAGCATAAGAAACCTTATTAGGTAGTATAGGCAGTACTCTGGAGCTTAGTGGTGTTACCACCTTTAGAATCAAAGCAAGAGGGGTGGTACCAGAACCTGGAAGAACAGGGTCACAAAGGGTTAACTTGAGAGCACTAGTGACTTTAGGTTAAGACAGGAAAGCTCTAGGGAGGAAGTAGTGCAAAAAAATATGCTGATCTCACTTCTCTCTCTCCTCCCTCTTGCCAAGACCCCTCTACCCATTAACTAGGAACTTACTAGGAAACTAGAGAACCAACAGATAAAATCCATACAGGTCTGCATCCCAAGACCAAGAGTAGGTGGAGAAGGGTAGAATATAAATCTAGATGGGCAAAAGGAAGATATCCAGCCCAATTACGGAAAACAAAAACTATCTTTGTAGATAAACTTGGTTTTCAGAAAAAAAAAAGAGTAGATTAAACATAGATTTAGTGACTTCCCTGGTGGCTCAGGCAGTAAAGCGTCTGCCTACAATGCAGGAGACCCAGGTTCGATTCCTAGGTCAGGAGGATCCCCTGGAGAAGGAAATGGCAACCCACTCCAGTATTCTTGCCTGGAGTATTTCATGGATGGAGGATCCTGGCAGGCCCCAGTCCATGGAGTTGCAAAGAGTAGGACACAACTGAGCAACTTCTCTTCACTTCACTTCAAACATAGGCAAATAACAGGTTCTTTCTACCACTCTGAGATCTCAATATTGAATACAAAATGTGTCCGTCTTTTTTCTATAAGTGAATTAAGATTCTATGATATTGAAAAAATTTTGAAGAACTTCTGGTAGGTATCTTCTCTGTACAATCCTCACGTACAACATGAAGCATTAATCCACTTTAGTTTGTTGCTTTTTCTGATTGTATTCTGAGTCCATGTGGAATGGAGGACAGAAGCAGGAAAGTCACGGGCTCAATTCCCTTCGGAGCTCATTATTGCAACCAGAGAAACAAAGCAAAGGCATACTGTTAATGGTAAACGGAGTTACAATAGAAGAGTAGTATGCAGATCTCAATGCTATGATGATGGCCTTTTAAATTAAAAGCTCCTAGTATTTCTTCTGCTTATAACATCATCTTTGGGTGGTGGTGGTGGTGGTATTCAGTCACTAAGTCGGATCTGACTCTTTGCAACCCCATGGGCTGCAGCACGCCAGGCTTCCCTGTCCTTCACTATTTCTCGAAGTTTGCTCAAACTCACGTCCACTAAATCAATGATGCCATCCAACCATCTCATCCTCTGTTACTGCCTTCTCCTCCTGCTCTCAATCTTTCCTAGCATCAGGGTCTTTTCCAGTGAGTTGGCTCTTCACATCAGGTGGCCAAAATATTGACGCTTCAGCTTTAGCATCAGTCCTTCCAATGAATATTCAGGGTTGATTTCCTTTAGGATTGACTGGTTTGATCTCCCTGCAGTTCAAGGGACTCTCAAGAGTCTTCTCCAGCACCACAGTTTGAAAGGATCAATACTTTGGTGCTCAGCCTTCTCTTATGGTCCAACTCTCACATCTGTATGTGACTAGTGGAAAAACTATAGCTTTGACTAGATGGACCTTTGTTAGCAAAATGATGTCTCTGCTTTTTAATACACTGTCTAGGTTTGTGATAGCTTTTCTTCTAAAGAGCAAGTATCTTTTAATTTCATGGCTGCAGTCACCATCCACAGTGATTTTGGAGCCCAAGAAAATAAAATCTGCTACTGTTTGCATTTTTTCCCCATCTATCTGCCATGAAGTAATGTGACCAGATGCCATAATCTTAGGTTTCTGAATGCTGAGTTTTAAGCCAGCTTGTTCACTCTTCTTTTTCACCTTCATCAACAGGCTCTTAAGTTCCTCTTCAATTTCTGCCATTAGGGTGGTATTATCTGCATATCTGAGGTTGCTGCTATATCTCCAGCAATCTTGATTTCAGTTGGTGACTCATCCAGTGCAGCATTTCACATGATGTGAAAGAAAGTTAAAAGTAAAGTGATAGTTGCTCAGTCGTGTCCAACTTTGCAACTTCACGGACTGTAGCCTATCAGGCTCTTCTGTCCATGGAATTCTCCAGGCAAGAATACTGGAGTGGGTTGCCATTCCCTTCTCCAGGGGATCTTCCCGACCCAGGGATTGAACCTGAGTTTGCTGTATTGCAAGCAGATTCTTTACCATCTGAGCCACCAGGGAAGCTCACATGATGTACTCTGCATATAAGTTAAACAAGCAGGGTGACAATATATAGCCTTGACGTACTCCTTTCCCAATTTTGAATCAGTCCATTGTTACATGTTCGGTTCTAACTGCTGCTTCTTGACCTGCATATAGGTTTCTCAGAAGGCAGGTAAGGTATTCCCGTCTCTAAGAATTTTCCACAGTTTATTGTAATTTTGGGTATACAGTCCTTTTATTTTTCAATCTTATAATACCTCTATTTCATGGGCTGGCAATCTTTCTATAAAGGGCTGGACTGTAAATACTTTAGGCTGTGGGCCAGATGGTCTCTGTTGCAGTTATTCAACTCTTTCTATGTAGCACAAAAATCATCAGAAAGAATACGTAAACAAATGTTTGTGGCTGTGTTCCAATAACACTTTATTTACAAAAACAGATGACAGGCTGAATTTGGCATACAGATGTAGTTTGTTAATGCCTGCTCTACCTTACCCATATAACCTCTTCATTCTTACTCCTCTACCTAATCTGCTTCCTGTTATCTGTGGTCATTTCACCTTTCACCAAAAATGCTAATCCTTCTCATTCTGCATCACTTCCATATTTCACTTAAAATCTACTGTGCTGAGAAAAATTATATTCTCTATCTGGATGTCTTCCTGTTGGTCCTTGCTTGAAATACAGATCTAGAAGTGTCAAGCAAACTACTTCACATATCCAGAAGTTTAAGACATTCAGAAAATGACTGAGACTTTTAGGTTAGTGGGTTAAAGAAAAGACTATTTGAATAAACAGTAACTTTGAATTTACCTGGTTCCAAGTTGAGGCATCTTTGGTCCTATATTGAATGTCATATTTCAGAGTTATAAGACTCCTAAAACGTGAGTCAGTCCATGTCAATTTTAAAATACTAGACAGTTCCTTTGAGTTGTTGACTGATAAAATATGTGGTGGATTGAACTTCACTGAAAAATAAAAAAGATCCTAATGTTTACCATGGTTTACTTTTACAACTTCTTACGAAGTCCAATATACTCTATATTTTATTTCACAATATGCATTTATTCTCACCAAATGAACAAATTTGTCTAAAAAAATGCTATACCATACTACTATAATGGAAGGAAAAGGTTCCTAAAGAAATTCTAGTTCTTTCCCTTGTCAATTTATTACATTTGTTAATATTTTCAGGTTCAGATATTAAAAGTTAAATAGTGATGATATATGGAATTTAAAAAATTAAAAATGAAGCATATATACTATGACTATAATGCTACAAGATGTTTGATATCTGAATAGATATCAGAGATAATATTACAAGTAAAAACAGCTGTCAGTGTGGTTGGATTATGGCTATTTTTCTTTTTCCAAAGTATTTTTAATGTTCTTGATACAGTTAATTTGTAGAAGTCACTAAGAAAATAAATGCTTATTATTTTTACATTAATTAAACTCAAATTTATAAGACACTGTATATTCTAATAAATTCTCAAATTTAGGTTTATAAATACCTTTATCTATAGGATCAAAATTGATATGATCTGAGGCAACCTTCCCAAGGGCATTCTCTGCTTCTACCCAGACTTCAATGTTGACAAAATACACAGGAGGATAATTAACAGTGCATGAGGTGGGGGTGTCACGTTTTGCTTTACAATCCTCAAACTTCTCTGTTGCCCTAAATATAAAAATGGTAAAAATCAGTCATTAAAAACAGATTTGAATAAATTAGAGTGAAAAAGGTTACTTGAAAATCGAGTTTGATGAGACCCAGATTATCACAGCTTAGAATAAATAAGTTAATTTCAATAAGTTTAAAACAAACTATTGAACACTAGAAACAAAATTTGTTAAACATTCATCTGTTTTTCTTTAAAACTGAGTTTGATCTATATCTTTAAACACAAGATTATTTTCAAAATTTTACTTTAAGAATATCATATTTAGAATCTTATGCTCTAACCCAATGACCCTTCTCCAACCAAAACTTATTAATGATATCAGTCCTGTTTCTTTCTTTTCCTTGAACAGAATCTTTACGGTATCAGCAATGTCTCTTTAATCACAGTATGCTTTTTCAAAACATAATATGCCAGGAGGTGATAGAGCAGGGATAGAATTTCTATCCTTCCAGAAAATTCCCTCAACCCTTTCCAACCACTTTCTAATTTCTATTACCAAAGAAAGTTTCAAGTGATATGACTAAATTTACTCACATGCGTTTAAATCATGCATCAATTAAGAATATATATGCATATGTATGCATGTGTGTGTGTGTGTGTATATATATATGTGTATATATATATATATATATATACACACACTGTTTTTTAAAATAGGATAAATCAAAACCAAACCAAAACAGGTAACCTTTGGGAGGAGGGGGGAAATAAGATAAAGGAGACAGGGAACAGAGACTTCTATAAACATACTTTGTTCTTAGAAATTTGTGTGGATTAATTTATTACTTTATACAATGAAGAAAATTCTTAACAACCACAAGCAAAATGAAACAGCTAGAAGAAGGGAGATATAGATGTTAGATAGGTGAATTAACTAAAAACCTATAGTCTGAATTTTAAATTGGAAATACCAGTACGAGTTCATGATGTATTTTATCTTAAAAACATTTTTAGTTCTTTTCACTAAAAAAGCCTAAAAACAACAACCCAGTAGCAATAAGCTCCCCAACACCCAGACTACAGTCTCTAAATTGTATTCCACACTAAGTGGAACCATGATTACTTGGGAATTGGTTGATTCTAGGTCTGGAACAGAAAACACATTAAGATGAACCTGGAACATCATGTCACTTCAGAAATCAGGAAGCTATCAAAGAACTAATGAAGTTGTGTCAAAAGGATAAAACTGAAAAGTTCCCACTAACCAAAGATGGGACAATTTAAGTATTAAGAAGAATAACTGTAATGGATTAAAACACATCAAATCAGGAATTCCCAATGGTCCAGTAGCTAAGACTCTGTGCTCCCAATGCAGGTGGTCAGGGTTCCACCCCTGATCTGGGAACTGAATCCCACATGCCGCAACTTAAGAGTTTGCATGTTGCAACTAAACAAACTGAATGATGCAACGAAGATCAAAGATCCTGCATGCTGCAACTAAGACCTGGCGCAGCCAGATAAATAAATAACAAGACATCCAATGTTTAAATATGAATTCATAATGAGGAGAAAAATCCCTTGTATCTACCTTTGGAAGATGCTGCTGCTGCTGCTAAGTCACGTCAGTAGTGTCTGACTCTGTGCGACCCCATAGATGGCAGCCCAACAGGCTCCTCTGTCCCTGGGATTCTCCAGGCAAGAATACTGGAGTGGGTTGCCATTTCCTTCTCCAATGCATGAAAGTGAAAAGTGAAAGTGAAGTCGCTCGGTCATGTCCGACTCTTAGCGACCCCATGGACTGCAGCCTACCAGGCTCCTCCGTCCATGGGATTCTCCAGGCAAGAGTACTGGAGTGGGTTGCCATTGCCTTCTCCGTTGGAAGATGCTAGGGATTCATTAATCTAATTAATGATGTAAATGCTCAAGTGATTAAGGTGGAAGTATATGGATGTCTCTAACTCACTCTGAAATTCATTAAAAAGAGATGGGTTGGTAGATGGAGACAAGTACAGTAAAATGTCAACTGAAGAATCTAGGTAACAAGCATGTATAAATGTTCACTGTAAAATTCTTTCAACTTTTCTTTATATTTGAAAAAAAAAACTAAACAGAAATTCTGTAATACCTGAAACCATTGCTCAAATTTTAATATAAGAAAAAGAAAAACAAACAAACATTATATGGTCGTTCCTAATGAAAACATGTAACTCCTCTATGAATTATTTTTTTGGGGAAAACTGATTAACTGTCTAGATCTAATGGCAAGTTTTAGTAAATAAAGGGACAGAGGAATGTGTTAAATAATGTATAACCATTATTTTAACAACTGAACTGCAAAGAAAGAAGGGAGAACCTATGGTTAAGAGAGACAAGATACATGAATTGGCAATACATGGTGATTACTTAAATCTTGATTTGACAAGTATCAAAATATATACATATATTCATGAGACAACTGGGAAAATTTGAACACTAATTAAAAATGTAACAATATGAGAGTATTTTCAATTATATTTGGATTTTTTTAAAAGTGTCCTTATCTTTTCCATAAAAGTACTAAAATATTTATGGATGAGATGATATGATGTCTATTTCTTTAAAATAATCTGAGTGTGGGGATTATATAAAGTAAGACTGGTAATGAGCTGATAATTATTGACGCTTGGTGATGAGCGTGAGGATTTCTTACACTATTCTTTCTACTTTCATGTTTCAGGTGTTCTAAAATAAAAAACATTTAAAACTTTGCATTTAATAATACTACCTCACAAGATAAAAATTCTACCACAAAGGCAAACTTAATAAATTCAATGTACAACAAATTTAAAATAACTTGCCATTCAGATTTTAAAGTGTAGTTTGTTTCCAGGTGTGTTTCCCTTCCAAGATCCCACTGACACATCATTTTCTTTTCTTCATTCACAATGCAACTCAAATTTTCAGGTTTTTCAGGAGGCACTAAAAGGGAAAAATTAGCAATTTTCAAAAGCTTCATATTCACAAAAAGCATGCAATTTATATACTCCTCCAGACATTTAAGATAACCAAAATCAGACAGAAAAAAACAAAACCAAGAAAAGACATAACGAAATACTGGTGACTAAAAAATTCATTTCTTTTCTATGTAAATTCAAACATTTTAGATAGTAACATACATTTTCTATCATACCTGTCATTAACAGGTATGTTTCAAATTAACTTTCTAGACAAAGTCAACTTTCATTTATAGCTGGAAAGCATCATCAACTGACTTCTCAAGTGTATTTTAGAAACTAATACTTGAACATTAGTAAGAGGCAAGTAATTAGAAGCAAAAATGATTCATTTATATCTCTCCCTTCCCAAACTCTGCTGGAGAGAAAGCAAATGCTAAAATTATAGTGTTAGATAGTCCACAAATCTGGCGATCCATTCTTGGATCACAATAAATTTATTTGTCTACTTCAATATAAAAGGGTTCTCCAATATTGATTCACCTTCTTCAGATAGCTGCTTTACACTGAATTTTCTCCACAACTAAGGGATATTGAAAGTTACTATGAACACAGTCACAGATTTCAACTCAACATTTTTGGTGGGTATCTCATGTCAAAATATTTTTCTAGAAAGTTGACAGATGCTTGACTTTCAGGAAAAAGATAAAACTTGTGTTACTCTTTAGGCTTTTATACATTTGTAATGCAAGTGCAGTTCTACTTCTAAGCTTATTTTTTTTTAAACATTAAAAAAAAATCCAAAACACTGAGCTGACAGTTACTGCATTTCAAAAAGACCAAAAGACAATGGACATTAAAGATGCAATTCAACAGTCATGACAAAGTCTGAAATAAAAAAGGTAAAACAAAACTTACAGCCTGAAATGATTCTGATTCCATAAACACTCCGATTAATCTGTCCAAACATACGAATATTGCAAGTGAGCAAAACATTTATTAAAGGTATATTTAAAAATGTGACACTAGATGATGTTCTGTTTATGACAGTATATTGATCACGAGAAACAGTAGCACGGCTTATTTTCCAGAAAATGTCATCAGCAGTCACATGATAATCATCCATACATTTTTCCTTTAGCACACAAACTGCCGTGAAATTCGAACCAATTTGTACAACTGAAGATTCAGGGTGGATATGAGCACATGGAACTATAAGTTCACCTGGAAAGGAATAACAGAAACTTTAAGAATAAACTGAAATTTCCTGGTACAAAATGACATTCTATATCAGTACAGTTCCTCTATCATCATTAAAATATCTCTAAAGACACAGAAAAAGAAGAAACACAGTGAAAGTTGGTATCACCAGAATTTAATGTTTAAATTTGAAAAGGATTATACCAATTACGTGGCAGATGGAGCTGGATTTTACAGAGAAAAAAAAAAAACCCTATGCAAATTTCAGCCATTTTTATAACAATCTACTTTGCTTTAGGAAACTCAGTTTGCCTGCAGGGTGATTCATATTTGCTCTGCCATCAATTGTGTTTCTCAACTCACACCTGGTGTCTAAATAGACCCACCAGAACACAGGCAGTGGTCTCTGCTCTTGCCAGTCCTGAATGCCTTTGAGGGTGCAGATGGGGGCATGCAAAGACAGTATATGTTGTTCATATGTCAAAATCAGACAAAAAGAGCAAGGGTGTAGTAAAAAACAGGATGAGTAAAATAAGATGGCCAAATACATTGGTTTTAACAATAAGTATATGGGATACAATCTCATATTAAAAAACAAAGAACCAAATTATATAAAAAAATAAAATGCAACTACATGATTTACCTATGACCTACTCCATGTTGACAACATCTAAACCCCTCTTTCTGACTCTAACTTCCTGTTTTCAGTGGCTTACAAGACATCCACCTGAGATACTTCATAAGTACTTTAAAATGAACATGTCTAAAATTATATGTATCATAGTTCAGTTTAGTCACTCAGTCGTGTCCGACTCTTTGTAACCCCATGGACTGCACCATACCAGGCTTCCCTGTCCATCACCAACTCCCGGAGTTTACTCAAACTCATATCCATCAAGTTGGTGATGCCACCCAACCATCTCATCCTCTGTTGTCCCCTTCTCCTCTCATCTTCAATCTTTCCCAGCATCAGGGTCTTTCCAAATGAGTCAGTTCTTCGCATCAGGTGGCCAAAGTACTGAAGTTTCAGCTTCAGCATCATTCCTTCCAATGAATATTCAGGACTGATTTCCTTTTGGATGAACTGGTTGGATCTCCTTGTAGTCCATGGGACTCTCAAGGGTATTCCCAACACCACAGTTCAAAAGCATCAATTCTTTGGTGCTCAGTTTTATGTCCAACTCTCACATCCATACACGACTACTGGAAAAACCACAGCTTTGACTAGATGGACCTTTGTTGGCAAAGTAATATCCCTGCTTATTAATAAGCTGTCTAGGTTGGTCATAGCTTTTCTTCTAAGGAGCAAGCATCTTTTAATTTCATGGCTGCAATCACCATCTGCAGTGATTTTGGAGCCCAGAAAAATAAAGTCAGCAGTCACTGCTTCCACTGTTTCCCCATCTATTTGCCCTGAAGTGATGGGACCGGATGTCATGATCTTAGTTTTCTGAATGTTGAGCTTCAAGCCAACTTTTTCACTCTCCTCTTTCAGTTTCATCAAGAGGCTCTTTAGTTCCTCTTCACTTTCTGCAGTAAGGGTGGTGTCATCTGCATATCTGAGGTTATTGATATTTCTCCCAGCAATCTTGATTTCAGCTTGTGCTTCATCCAGTCCAACATTTCTCATGATGTACTCTGCATATAAATTAAATAAGCAGGGTGACAATATGTAGCCTTAACATACTCCTTTCCCAATTTGGAACCAGTCTGTGTCCATGTCCAGTTCTAACTGTTGGTTCTTGACCTGCATACAGATTGGTCAGAAGGCAGGTCAGGTGGTTTGGTATACCCATCTCTTGAAGAATTTTCCACAGTTTGTTGTGATTCACACAGTCAAAGGCTTTGGCATAGTCAATAAAGCAGAAATAGATGTTTTTCTGAAACTCTCTTGCTTTTTCAATGATCCATTGGATGTTGGCAATCTGATCTCTGGTTCCTCTGCTTTTTCTAAAACCAGCTTGAACATCTGGAAGTTCTCAGGTCACGTACTGGTGAAGCCTGGCTTGGGAGAATTTTGAGTATTACTTTGCTAGCATGTGAGATGAGTCCGACTATGCGGTAGTTTGAGCATTCTTTGGCATTGCCTTTCTTTGAGATTGGAATGAAAACGGACCTTTTCCAGTCCGGTGGCCACTGCTAAGTTTTCCAAATTTGCTGGCATACAGAGTGCAACATTTTTACAGCATCATCTTTTAGGATTTGAAATAGCTCAACTGGAATTCCATCACCTCCACTAGCTTTGTTCATAGTGATGCTTCCTAAGGCCCACTTGACTTCACATTTCAGGATGTCTGGCTTTAGGTTAGTGATCACATCATCATGATTATCTGGGTCGTGAAGATCTTTTTTGTACAGTTCTTCTGTGTGTCCCTGCCACCTCTTCTTAGTATCTTCTGCTTCTGTTAGGTCCCTACCATTTCTGTCCTTTATTGTGCCCATCTTTGCATGAAAAGTTCCCTTAATATCTCTAATTTTCTTGAAAAAATCACTAGTTTTTTTCATTCTATTGTTTTCCTCTATTTCTTTGCATTGATCACTGAGGAAGGCCTTCTTATCTCTGCTTGCTATTCTTTGGAACTCTGCATTCAAATGGGTATATCTTTCCTTTTCTCCTTTGCCTTTCACTTCTCTTCTTTTCATAGCTATTTGTAAGGCCTCCTGAGACAACCATTTTGCCTTTCTGCATTTCTTTTTCTTGGGGATGGTCTTGATCACTGCCTCCTGTACAGTGTCATAAACCTCTGTCCATAGTTCTTCAGGCACTCTGTCTATCAGATCTAATCCCCTGAATCTATTTGTCACTTCCACTGTATAATCGTAAGGGATTTAATTTAGGTCATACCTGAAGGGTCTAGTGGTGTTCCATACTTTCTTCAATTTAAGTCTGAATTTGACAATAAGGAGCTCATGATCTGAGCTATAGTAGCTCCAGGTCTTGTTTTTGCTGACTGTATAGAACTTCTCCATCTTTGGCTGCAAAGGATATAATCAATCTGATTTCGCTATTGACCATCTGGTGATGTCCATGTGTAGGGTCTTCTCTTGTGTGTGGAAGAGGGTATTTGCTATGACCAGGGCGTTCTCTCGGCAAAACTCTGTTAGCCTTTGCCCTCCTTCATTCTGTACTGCAAGGCCAAATCTGCCTGTTACTTCAGATATTTCTTGACTTCCTGCTTTTGCATTCCAGTCCCCCTGATGAAAAGGACATCTTTTTTGGGTGTTAGTTCTAGAAGGTCTTGTAGGTCTTCATAGAACTGTTCAACTTCAGCTTCTTCAGCCTTCCTGGTCGGGGCATAGACTATGTATCACAGTCCCCTCCAAATTTAATCTTTCTTCTTCTTATTTCTCTATTGCTCTGAACAACACTACTCCCATCCAGTCACCTAGGCCAGATAACTCTGTGGTCCTCCCTCTCTAATTAGCCTCCTCCCACACTCCCTGGCTCTTTTTGTTTCCACATTCTTAGTATGTAAAGCAACCTCTTCTCATCAACCCTATTTTGGCTGCTGGCCCTGAGGCTATCATATTATACCACAATCTGATCTCCTTCTCGTTTATCTTAAACATACAGCTCCTAAAGTTACTGTTCAAAAATGATTATGCCATTTCCCTATTTTAAAATATTTAATGACTACCTATTACCATCAAGATAAAATGCTCAATATTTGACATGATTCCATCCTCCTTCTCTATCCTCACTGTCTAGAAACTTAAGGCAGCTTTCTTGAGTGAATCCCATTTGCCAATGGAATTTGAAGTTCTAACAGCTTCAATTTATTCACTTGGAAAATGAAGTTAATCATGGCTATCTTGAAAATTTCTTGAGATCAGATATTAGTTATGTAAAGAACCTACTACAATGCCTGGTCTTCAAAAGGCCTCCAATAAATGGTAGCCTATCACCATTACTTGGCTTCCCTGGTGTCTTAGTGGTAAAGAATCCACTTGCCAATGCAGGAGATGCAGGTTTGCTCCCTGGGTTGGGAAGATCCCCTGGAGAAGGAAATGGCAACCCACTCTAGTATTCTTGCCCAGGAAATCCCATAGACAGCAGAGCCTGGTGGGCTACCGTCCCTGACATTGCAAAAGAGTCAGATATGACTTAGAGACTAAACAACAACAAATCATCATTACTACTACTATCCAGAGACAAGTAATCTAGTCACACTGACAGAATCTGGAAAGGTCTCTCAGAGGTGACTGGTTCTAGCAGTTAAGGTAAAACACGTACAGAATCAGAGATTTAAAAAACTGACAAAAACCGTGGAGAGAATTTACTTTAATCCTTTATTTTATAAAGAACGCTAGGATACTTTTATGGAGTCAACCTCAAATATCTGGCAGATTTTTCCAATTCTCAACTTGGTCCCAGGCTAGACTGCACAAAGGAAAAAACTACTTTTAAAAACTAAACAATTAACTTCTTATTCCATATCTGTCATTAAGCTCATAAGGCCCAGAGTCAAAATGTTTGTTTCAAAACTCATGATGCGGCCTATTTACATGACCTTGCCATTATTGATTCATGTCAATGGCAAGTCCTAGTGCACAAACTCCTTTCAATTTCCATTTTGTGACATGCTAGTAAGTTACCTTGTGATAATGAGCAAGTCCTTAAAACTCCTTCAATCTTACTTTGTTCCTTGGTAAAATCATTCCTGTTTGACTTTCTCTTTAATAATGAGAGGGAATCTTAACCTAGGAAATATACTTCAGAGTACTAAAGAACATGAGATATAGCCAGAGACTAAACAATTTTTAATCACACACAATAAGAAATACTAGAAACAGGCAAATGTTCCAGTTTTCGAAATGAAACACAGGCTCACTGAAACCATCCTGTGACACATGAAACCCGCGTTTACAGGGCAACTAGGCTGATTTTTTACTACTCTTGATCTATAAAAACAGGTATTTCATAACTTCAAACTAATAGATTTTCACTTGATTGATTGCCTACATATAAAAAAATCACTGACTAAAAAAAGTCAATGAGAGGGAGGCTAAAGTAGTATGCTGAAGTGCCTCCCCGCAAACCTTGGGGCAGACGGTACTTTCCAAAGAAGGTCATACTTATAAATGTATCCCATTCAACATGCTCATCTTACAAAGTGACAAATACTCCTCCAAAGAAATGAGGGTCTATGTTTCCCTTTTGCTCTCAGATCTTTAACGGTGCTTATGCCTGCCCTAGCCAACAGAGTGTGCTAAGTGACTTCCAAGGCTAGATGATCAAAAAATACAACTTCTGACTAGCTCTCTTTTTCTCTTGCGACATTTGCCATGGAATCCAGCCACATGTAAGGAAGCCAAGGCCGCAAAGAGAGACCACATGTGGCGTTCTAGCCAAGAGCCCAAAAGCCCTCAATCTACAGCCAGCATCAACACCAGACATAGTAAGTGAATGAGACTTCAGATGACTCCAGGTCCTCATCTCTGAATATTCTAGCTGAGGACCCAGATATTACAGAGAAAAGGAGAATCTGTGTGTCTGACAGCCTGTCACACATAAGCCATGAAAAATAATAAGTAATGCCATTTTAAGGCATGAAGCTTTAGAGTAATCTGTCTGGCAGCAACAGATAATGTAGTCCTGTTATTTTCAACCTTTTTATCAACAACTTAGGGGGAAAATAGACACACACACTTATCAAATCAGCAAAAGATTATAATGGATTGCCAACAATTTGGATAATGTCAGGATTCAAAATTGTGCTGAAGGACTAGACTGATAGACTAATAAATTTGGCAAAATCATCTTCTATTTAGTTTGATAAGTAAATATAGAGTGAAGGGGAAATGGCTTAAAAGTAACTGACATGAAAACAATCTGAGAATTTTCACTGACTGGTAGATAGCTTAACATAAAACTACAGTGTATCTTAACTGGCAAAAAATTATGTTGCTTTAATAAAGATGGTCCTTCAAAAGTAAATAATAAAATCACTATACTCAGAATATGTCAAGTTCTGATATATTTTTTCCTTAAGTGCGTTTTATTCAAACCTTAATAATAAATAAATATATTATTACATTCCTTTTTATAAAGCATACTATGGGCCATGTACTGCCCAAATGCCTTCTGTGTATTAACTCATTTAAATCTCACAATAATCCTAGAAGTTAGGGACATTACTATCCCCATCTTACAGATCATGAAACCAAGACACAGATGAAGTGACTGGCTAAAGTTTCATTGTTGTTAACTAGAATTAAGTGGGATGGTATTATATGTTAAATATGATATGGAAAATCAAGAGAAGAGTCAGGAGGGTAATCAGTGCATACAGATTGGAAGCCAAGTCCTACAAAGAATAATTAGGATAACTAGGTAAATTTAATTTGGGCAAGAGAGGGGTTAGAAAGCATTCCTTCAATACTTGAAGACTTGAACAGTGGCAAAGGAAAGTGGACCTACAATAGAAGGATTTTTAAGATTAATGAGAAAAAGTTACAAGGAAGAAAATTTGGGTTTAAGATAAGGAAAGACTTTTAAATGAGAAAAAATTTCAGCGTAAGGTTTGTATCATTTTCAGTGTTTAAAAAGAGGCTGCATTCTTGAATTTGAAGAGGGTTTGACTTAGAGCAATGCTTCTCAAATTATCTGGGGTGAAGGATCAGTTTAGGTTTTCTTCACCCAATCCTTTATAGACATACACTTTTGTTTTACATTACATTTGATGAGGCAAATCCACTGATCACATGCTTGGATATCATGGATAATATGTCAAATTGTTAAAAGAGTTTCTAAACATTTCTTCTTAATTTCTGTACCCACCTCATTATGGACCAATAACAACCAGTTCTCAGGCTGTGGACCAGCTGAGGCAGTATTGCTCTGGTTGATTTTTCTTCTGGTATCACAATCTCACTGCTGCTCAGTGACATCTTTGGCTATAAGTGCTAAAAGTTAACAAACCTGATCCTGTTTCTTTATTTAAAAAAAATAAACAAAATCCCCTTTTCTCCTTCTCAACATTAAACTTACTATTAGTACAGCTGAACAAGATTTAGGATTATAGACTGCTTCAACTCAAATTATACAAATTATAATTTGTCAAGAGCATTTTAACTTGAGCCCATTTTTAAGACAACATCGTTCTTTCAATAATGATTCTAAAGAATAAATATGTAAGCATAATTATATAATTATTCAGCAATACACAAACCTAATTTGTGGGATTGGGAGGTAGGATACCTCATGAACCTTACCTATAGATTCAGTGGTGAGGAAAATAAACAAGGCTTGCACTATCCAAGTTTGCAATGTGAACATCTTGCATAGATATTTCTGTAAAAGACACATGCAATATTATTTTAAATATTTTTACTCTTACTATGCATAATAAAGACACAAGTTCTAAAGCTCTTTTGTTTCCATTGTATAGTTGTTTTTCTAAAAGGTGGTAAAATTCTTGTGAGAATGCAGAAAACAAACTTAACTCTTTAGAATATTTTTCTTTATTCCCCCTAATGTTATGGCTACATAAAATACTGCTGGGAAACATACTTTATACTTTGGTGGTTTTAGTCACTAAGTCATGTCCAACTTTTGGGACCCCATGAACTGTAGCCCACCAGACTCCTGTGTCCACGAGATTTCCCAGGCAAGAATACTGGAGTGAGTTGCCATTTCCTTCTCCAGGGGATCTTCTGGACCAAGGGATTAAATCCAGGTCTCCTGCATTACAGGCATATTCTTTACTGACTGAGCCACCAGGGAAGCCCAATTTCTACTTTAAGGTCAATTAACAGAGCAAACCTGTTTCTATATTATGAAGTCTTGCACTGCTAGTAAATACTCTGTGAGACTGAAGAGTTCAGAGAGACAAATGTCTACGTGGCAAAACCTCACCGTTGGCAAGTTCAAAAGGTAAGAGCCAAATGGGAAAAAAGAAGCTTGTAATTCATAGCCTAACCAAAATTATCCCAATATATGAAGAATGCCTACAAATCATTACAAAAATTCCAACACCTCACCTTCCCTGTTTAGAAGAAAACATGTAAGATGAGCCAAACAGGCAATTTATAGAGAAGGAAATACAAGTGACTCAAACATATGAAAAGATACTTTCAACCTCACTCATAATGAGATATAAATTAAAACAAGTCATACAGGAATGTAAGATGATACAAACACTTTGGAAAACAATTTGGCAGTTCTTTATGAATTAAAAGCACATCATAAGACTTATTAGCATTTCCACTCCTAATAATGTATCCAAGAGAAATAAAAATAAATGTCCACATGAAGACTTATATCCAAACCTACAGCAGTTTTGTTTATAATAGTCCCAAACTAGAAACAATCCAAATGTGAATCAACTGGTGAAAGGATAAACGAATATCCAAATAGTAGTATATCCATACAATAGAATACTGCTGCTGCTGCTGCTAAGTCGCTTCAGTCATGTCTGACTCTGTGCGACCCCATAGACAGGCAGCCCACCAGGCTCCACCATCCCTGGGATTCTCCAGGCAAGAACACTGGAGTGGGTTGCCATTTCCTTCTTTAACGCATGAGAGTGAAAAGTGAAAGTGAAGCTGCTCAGTGTCTGACTCTTCGCGACTCCATGGACTGCAGCCCACTAGGCTCCTCTGCCCATGGGATTTTCCAGGAAAGAGTACTGGAGTGGGCTGCCATTGCCTTCTCTGACAATAGAACACTACTCAGCAATAAAAGGGGACAAACTAGTGATACAGGCAACAGCATGAACAAATCTCAAAAGCACTATGTTGAATGAAAGAAGCCATAAAAAACAGGCTATATTCCAAATAGGGAAAGGAGTATGTTAAGGCTGTATATTGTCACCCTGCTTATTTAACTTATATGCAGAGTACATCATGAGAAACACTGGGCTAGATGAAGTACAAGCTGGAATCAAGATTGCCGGGAAAAATATCAATAACCTCAGATATGCAGATGACACCACCCTTATGGTAGGAAGCGAAGAACTAAAGAGCCTCTTGATGAAACTGAAAGAGGAGAGTGAAAAAGTTGGCTTAAAGCTCAACATTCAGAAAACTAAGATCATGGCATCCAGTCCCATCGCTTTAGGGCAAATAGATGGGGAAACAGTGGAAACAGTGACAGACTTTATCTTTTGGGGCTCTAAAGTAACTGCAGATGGTGATTGCAGCCATGAAGTTAAAAGACGCTTGCTCCTTGGAAGAAAAGCTATGACAAACCTAGATGGCGTATTAAAAAGCAGAGACGTTACTTTGCCAACAAAGGTCCATCCAGTCAAGGCTATGGTTTTTCCAGTAGTCATGTATGGATGTGTGAGTTGGACTATAAAGAAAGCTGAGTGCCAAAGAAGTAATGCTTTTGAACTGTGGTGTTGAAGAAGAGTCTTCAGAGTCCCTTGGACTGCAAGGAGATCAAACTAGTCCATCCTAAAGGAAATAAGTACTGAATATTCATTGGAAGGACTGATGCTGAAGCTGAAACTCCTAATCTTTGGCCACCTGATGCAAAGAACTGACTCATTTGAAAAGACCCTGATGCTGAGAAAGATTGAAGGCAGGAGGAGAAGAGGATGACACAGAATGAGACGGTTGGATGGCATCACCGACTCCATGGACATGAGTTTGAGTAAACTCTGGGAGTTGATGATGGACAGGGAGCCCTGGCATGCTGCAGTCCATGGGGTCGCAAAGAGTCGGACATGACTAAGCAAGTGAACTGAGCTGATATAATGTAAAATTCTGTGTATGAAAAATTCAACAAATGGCAAAACTAGGGAAAGGGAAATGGATACAAAGGGGCACAAAGGAGCTTTTTGGGACAGAAATGTGCTATGAATTGACTACGGTGGTAATAAGATTCTATACATTTGTCAAAATTTACCACATTGTGTCAAGAATGTGAAGGCTCTGAGATTTGATCCTACTTACAAGTTAACAAGGTAACCTGTTAGTTTCATGGATATTGGCAGTAGACACGAGACTCTTGAGTCAGATACATATGATTTTATTACTCGTACCAGGAACACCAGTTAGAATTAACAGCCTTTTCCTGTGCCAGTTGCCCAAACCCCAATTCACAGAACACTGTGAAAAGATTCATGGAACACCTGTACATGCAGAGGGTTGTGTTTCAGAAGAGGAAGACTAAGCTTACTGGAAGCCTGTCTTTTAAAATGGCAGGAAGCACACCTGCTGGAGAAGGAAATGGCAACCCATCCCAGTATTCTCACCTGGAAAATCCCAGGGATGGAGAAGCCTGGCCGGCTACAGTCCACAGGGTCGCCAAGAGTCAGATGTGGCTGAGCGACTAACACACACACACACAAGTACACCTGCCCTCTACTTTGGAGGGAAACACGGTATCTGCTTTCCATGGCTGTCAGAAACCTGCTCTTTGCTTTATGAAGAGATACCATTTCTATCTTTCAATATCCTTGAAAAGATAGTCTGGAAGAAAAGGCAGTTAGAGCTATTGCTCATAAGACATGTAGAAATGCGAGAAACCCAAGGGAAATTGCTTTCTAAATAACTGTACACTAAAAGTTGGTGAATTTTGTTTATAAAGTGACCTCAATTAAAAACAAATAAAACTTATCCAGATAACACGTCCAGGCAAAAGAAATGAGTGCTAAATTTCTTCAAGAAATGTAGAAGAATTTTCACAGAAGTCGTATTCATAAAAGTTGAGAAGTAGAAGCAACCAAACCAAAAATCCACAAGCAGTAGAATAAATTGTGGTATATTCAAGTAACTAAATCACAGCAGTGAAAAAGGATAAATTAAAGGTACTCACAGCAACATAACTAAATTTCACATATAATACAGAAGAATCCAAATGCAATAGAAGTATGGTCTATATGATTTCCTTTATATTAAGTTCAAAAATAGGCTAACTTAAATCTATGGGGATATGTCACAACAGTGGTTATCTTTTGTGGGGAGGGTAGTGCAAGGGTAGAGAAAACACTCTGGGATAGTGAACCATGAGCTCTATACTATGATTTGTGAACTTCATTGTATGTAAGTTGTATTTGGTAAAAATAGTAAACAAACAAAAGTACTGCAATATTCTCACCTTGAGTGCTGGCAAAAAAATTAAAAACTAAAAAGTAATTAAGTGTTGTGAAATATGACATAAAAGCATTCTCATAAACTGATAGTTACAGTGTAAACTAGCATAACCTTCCCCTCAAATTCTACACCTAAAACTGTGAATTTGTTTGTACATTAGACCTCAGTTAAAAACAAAATCCCTATCTACACAAGGTGTATGGCCAGTGTTGCTCTATGAAAATTAAAGTACACATGTTTGAATCTAATTATTCTACTTCTACTACAGTATCCTATGGATATAAGCAAAATAACACATGTACAAAGTTAAAGTTATTCACTATAGCATTCAATTTAATAGTAAAAGCCTGCAGCAACCGAAATGTTTGTGAATAAGGGACTAGGTAAACTATGGCATATACAAATATAGCATACTGTAGTCATAAAACATGTACAGATATAGAAGTGTATCTAAAATACATTGCTAAAGTATAAACAGTGTATTTATTATTCATGGGCAAAGACACAGCAAAAAAGACAAAACACATACTAATTTAAATATGTACATAAAATATCTCAGGAAGGATAAAAATTCAAATACTAGCTGCCACAGGCTGTCTGAGACACTAGACTGGGAGGGAGCCTCTATACAGTACACTCTTTGTACCTTTCCGACTTTGTACCATGTAGCTTCAGTACTAGAAAGTAAATAAAATTTAAATTAAAAAACACTTAATGTGTTTTATCTCCCAGATAAAACTACTAACTTCTTGATGAGGACTTCAGAGTACTACGTATGAAACAGTATTACTTTATGAAATACTAATACTAACTTCACTTTTATATTCCCTAACCAGGTAATAGTCAATCTATAACAAAGCAATTTCATAGTGAATTCTTTAAACTGTCTCAGGTGAAGCTATAAAAATGAACTAAGTTGCAGGATCCCTTTTTTTCTACCTGCTTTACTCCTTTACTTCCCAACTTTGAATAGTCCTAGAACAGAAAAATCTACCATGTCATTCAACTGTTCATCAAAGCAACAGAACAAAAAATACAAAAATATGAGCATGTTGGTAGAGTACTACGAGGGGATTCCCAGGTGTCTCAGTGGTAAAGAGTCCACCTGTCAATGTGGGAGACGTGGGTTCAATCCCTGGGTTGGGAAGATGCTCTGGAGGAAGAAATGGCAACCCACTCCAGTATTCTTGCCTGGATAATTCTCTTGCCATGGACAGAGAAGCCTCTGGGCTATAA